TCCAAATCATTGCTGATTTAGCAGCATCAAGCAAATAGGTAAGATCATTAAGGGTCGTGTCATGGTCTGTCATGTAGTAGCCCTAAAGGAACTCACTATGTGACTTAGAAAGTGATTGAAGAACCTACTCAACAACCAACTTCCTCAAGACCTTGACACCCAAATCTCCCGGCTTGTCAATATGTGACTTTATCTCCAAGATGTGAGCACACATAGACTTTGCTTGCCAATAGGGCTTGAGTGACCTTGAACTTTTCAAGAACTTGTGGGTTAAGGAGAATAACTGGAGGAAGTGAAGGAAGAGAAGAATGATTTCCATGAACCAACCACGAGACGTCATCTTCATTAGGAAAGCTTGTTCCTAGGGATTTGGGAAGATCATAGTTGTCTGAACCAGACATCTACAATGGGAGATATTCAAGTTAGTTGATTTAAGTCCTTAATATAACACCCAATATGAAATATTAAGGCTAGGACCCAACACAATACTTTTATAACTTGGAAGAGGGATGCCGTAATCCAAGCTATAAAATATTTGAAGGTAGGCGAATGACGATTCACCAATTTCCACCATGAAAAACGAAATAAATTATTAGGTTTTTAATTGGCTTTAAAACTCCTAGATCTTTTGAGATTCATTGAACTTTTCAATGGCATGTTTCAATCTCGATTGTGCCCTCTCAAGTTTTGTGACTGGGATGTCGAGGATCACAAAACAAGGTGTGAATAACCATGCAAATATACTTGGTACTCTTAATTTTTATCACCTAATCGATGTGCCGGTTAACCACACGCACTCCACCGATCTATGATAAACCTTAAGCCACCCTTTGCCAACCTTGTTAAATCCAATTTAGTGTGTCGGTTAACTACACACGCTCCACTAACGACTTAAGCAAAGTGCAAAGTGTAATTTCATGGATTAGCACCAAATTCACATTTTCCTAAGTAACTAAGATTGGGAATTTATAAGTGTTTAGTTACTTAGTATTTATCATTATACTTTTAATGAAGGGAGAAATATAGTCCTTGTCCTACCCGTTCGGCTAACGACCCTCCACCAGTCAAGGAAGCGGTGGGTGAGAGTGGACACCCATTAAACTGCCATTTTATAGGCAGTAACCTTATACCCCCCCCCCCTTATAGACCGGCTTCGTGAATGAGGCCTACTAACGGTAAGACTGACTTTGTTCTTATACATATATATAACTATTAACTATTAATATTATAATAGTATAAGGGTTGAATTTTAACTTTTAAAATTCTAAAGGTTTAACTTGGAATTAAAGTATTCATGGGGAAACTTTACAAATTCCAAAACCTGAGGGCAAGTTTTGAACAATTCAAAAAACTTTTCAATTCCATAACTTATGTGTTTAAAGTAGTTTTAATGAAAAAACACTTCAGGTTCCATAACTTGAGGACAAGTTATGGAAGACTTTAAAGCATTTAAAAAAATGAGACTCTTCATTTTCATAACTTATGGAAATCTTATGAGTTTTAAAAAACATAAATGTGACTTTTCATATAACTTGAGGACGCGTTACAAAAACACATTTTATGAATAACTTTTAGATCAATTTGGATTGAAAACACATTATCAGATAACTTTTCTATTAATCTAAGCTAACTCATAAGAACAAGATAATTCAAATCATCAATCTTCAAGAAATTAGCATGAACATATAAACTAATACAAATCTTGAAATTGTGACAATTATCTTTGAAATTGGATTAGCATGAACATTGCCACATCAAAAACAAGTTTATAAGTTCAAAAACAGCATAGGGTAATGTTCCTAGTCCAATTCCAGCTAAAAAACTCGAAGATATGCTGTCAGGGGGTCCAACTCGCCGAATGCAAGAACCAACTCGACGAGTTGGATGAATTTACACTTGGACTCATCGAGTCCCTTAATGGACTCGTCGAGTCCCCTGTTCAGACAGCAAAAAAAATTTCGAATTTTTGCCATTTGCATCAAGTATAATTGAAAACAAGCCTTGGCTCTAATACCACTGATGGGTTTTAGTATACTACAACATCCTATGGTGCACATACAACCCTAAATACCTTAGATCTATGTTTTCACTAATTATAAATGCAAATGGTTTCCAAGGCATTAAACCTATAACTAGCATGCATTTTCATATTATCAAATAAGATACTAGTTAGAGTAACATACCTTTTGTATTGTAGCTTGATTCCATGGAGCTTAAGAGCCGAGTGCCTCAAGTGTGACACCTCAAATGGTTCACACAACACCAACAACAACTTGGAATAACTTGAGAGAAAATTCCTTATGCTCAAATCGGCTAGCCCTCACATATGAATCCTTAGCCACCATTTTTCTTGAGCTATGGGTCTTTATATATTGTGGCTATTAGGGTTAAACCATGTAACTCATGTCTTTCCATATTCTTCATGCTCCATGGGTTAAAACCTCCATGGAGTATCCATGGGTTTAGCCCAACATGAAGAACTACGGATCATAAGCCCACATATATAAGAATGAATGATTTACACAATCAATCCCCATATATTTAATTAGTGTCATTTGATCACATAATTAATTCCAAATTAATTCTTGATCAATACTAATTAAATAATATGATTTCATATTAATATATTAGAACTTATAATATATTAATAAATCATAAATATCCTTTTCTCATAAAAGTCTATCCAAATCGTTCTTATGCCATGCAACCCAAATGGACCATGCCAAGTCGGGTTGATTACATACCAATAATAGTTATGGGCTTAGACATATAATCCAATAGTTTTGCCCTACGTAGGGCATAGTGTAGCTACGCATGGCATGGAAGCTGCTGCAGGAACGCGTCTTTAATGATCTACGCATGGCGTAGATTTAGGTACGCATGGCGTAGCTGCTTCTGACCAAAACCCTAATTGCAGGGTTGTGAGCCCTATTTAAAGGCTCTAATCCCTTGAAAGCCTTCACATACTCAGCCTCCATCCTCATTTACAGTAACCTCGAAACTCTAGCCATCTTGTGAGGATTTTGAAGCATTTGTGTGTTCCTTTGTGTGTTTTGTGAAGAAGGAGTCCATTGAAGAACCTCTTGGGAGTCCATAGCTTGTAGATCCAAACCTTTCAACTCATTAACATTCTCCATGAGGTATAAAGCTTGAACCTTGATGATTCCTTTGATAGATCTTAGTTAGTTATGGATTTTATGAGCTTTTTTGTCCCTTGACCTTGGTCGTTTTGAGTAAGGAGCTACTCTAGACCTTATGAGTGTCATTTCTAGATGTTTATAAGCTGATTGAGTCATAAAAATAGGAGCTTCCATCCATCCATGCATGATCCCTTGCACCTTGGAATGTGTTTTGGACTTAGGGTTTGGTCTTATGCCCTTTTAAGTCATGAAAAGGTGTAAAGTCAGAAAATTTATCACTTAGGACGTTTATTAGGTCCAGATCTGAGAATTGGATGGTTGATCTTATTGCAATAAGATCTTAATAAGAAGTTGGTTCAGCAGGGCATTACTTCATGTGTAATCCTAACTACATGGGGCCTAGCCTGAAATTGCCCCATTTTTCCTTATAAGTCTCTACGCAGGGCGTAGAGCATAAGTACGTTGGGCGTAGCATCAGAAATGAGAATTTTGGCCAATTTGGATTAAGGGTCAAGTGGAGTAGGTTCTTGGCTTGGAAGGATAAAATGGTCTTTTACCTCGAGAGAGATTATGAGCAAAGGCTTTTGAGTGGGAATCTGTACCTTAATTTCTAATTAGGATCTTATTGTATATTAATTAGTGTGGGAAGTTCCGGTATCGTCCGCTCGGGTGTGACATTTGTCTGTCTTTAGATTGAGGTGAGTCTTCTCACTATACTGTGTAGGATGCTTGTTGTCTTTGTGACTCTTACATTTTGTGTTGGGTTGGGCCCATTAGTATTTTGGGTTGGGCCCACCGATATGTGGGGTTGGGCCCAATGTGCAGGCTGGGGTCGATATTATGGGTTGGACCCAATATATGGGTTGGGCTTGTTAATATTTATGGTATGCGGTATTTTGGGGAACTTGCTAAGCTTTGTGCTTATGGTTTTATGGTTTATCATTTTCAGGCATTTCCAATTTCAAAGGGAAGGGTCTGGCGTGATCGCATATCATCCTCTCGATTTTATTATGCTTGTTATTTGATTTCACTCTGAATGTATTCTTTATACTATGGTTGATTTGGAACAAATTGGTTGTATTTTTGGGTGTTTCAAAAACAAAATTTTTATCAGTATTTTTGGAACATTACACTTTTGTATGAAAAGACTATGGGGGACCATAACATATGTTTGAGAGACTATGGGGGACCATATCATTTGCATGAAAGACTATAGGGGGACCATAACACTTGTGTTAAAGACTATGGGAGGACTATAGCATGTATATGAAATACTATGGGGGGACAGTAAATGGAAAGACTGCAGGGGGATTGTAACAACAAAAGTGAGTGTAAGACTATGGGGGCCATATCATTCACATGGGTATGTGGTATCTTGGAGAACTCGCTAAGTTTTATGCTTACTCGTTTAAGTTTAAATGTTTTCAGGTTGTTCTAGCAACATGGGGAAGGACACGCCTTGATTGCATAGCATCCATGGATATGTTTTGTAGACTTTCACACTTTTTATTTTCATTATCTTATTATTATTACTCTATTTTTTATAATGGTTTGTCAAACTTAAACAAATGGTTATTTATCTATATTTTGGGAATAAAATTGGAATGGTTTCCTTTATTTAAAAATAAAAAAATGGTTTGAAATTTGAAACGTTATAAGTTGGCTACCGATTTCATGCCACAACAAAATGGAGTGGCAAAAAGGAAGAATTGTTCCATCTTGAATATAGTTATGTGCTTGTTTAAGGAATCAAAAATGCTTAAAGAATTTTGGGGTGAATCTGGTGGACAATAGACATTCTCAATAGATGTCTAGCTTCAACATTAAAAAAATACTATTCCATATGAGTGTTGGAGTGAAATGAAGCCCGATATTGAGCATTTTAAAGTGTTCGGGTGCATAGGATATGTGCATGTTCACCGCCAAGGAAGAACCAGGTTAGATGAACGGCGTCATATGTGCATATTTCTTGGAGTAAGCGAATATTCCAAAGCATACAAGATGTACTATCTAGAAAAAAAATTGTTGTAAGCAAAGATGTTATTGTTTATGAGAATCATTGTTGGTATTTGGGAAGAAGCTTAGAAATATAAAAGAACGATGTATTCGTAATAGATGGAGATGGTGATAGATAATTTGATGATGATTTAGTCAACCTAGAAGAAAGTAATAAAGTTATTCCCTAACCAGATACTTCAAGTTAAAGTCCAATCACAACTCCAATGACAAGAACAACGTGTGGCAATTACAACCATCATGAAGGACGAAGAACTCGTACAAAACCAAAACATTTGCAAGATTATGTTAGTAGGGAAGGTTTTTCTGATAAAGACGAAGAACATGTGGAATTTCACGTGTCATATGGAGATCCAACTTGTTTTGCAAAGTTTTCAAGGTGACAAAGTGGAAAGATGCAATAAATGTCGAAATAGAAGCTATCAAGAAGAACGAAACCTAGGAACTCGTCAATATACATGCTTGAATGAATGAACCAATGCACCAACCCACCGTTTGACCATAAAAATGGAAGATGGATGGACATAGGTCCGGCGGAATAAGCAATCGACGTTTAGAAAATTAGCGGTGTAACCACCTTCTTTGTAACAAACTTATCGGAAAGAGACAACAGAGGAGAACTGAGACAATCCTTCGAAAAATATGGGGTGGTGACTGATGTTTATACTGCCAACAGGAAAGGAAAAATGGAAGGAAATTTGCGTTTGTCAGATTCAGAAATGTGGTAGATGTCAAGGAATTCGAAGGAAGATTAAATGGGATCAAGTTTCAGAACGTACAACTAGTTGTCAACTTAGAGAAGAACAAACGAAAGCCTCCTGAAATGACACACGGGTTAAGGAACAAAGAGTCAAGAACCATGAACAGCAAGTCTGTGGCACAGTGGGGTATGAGAGATCACATATCATTTGCAGAAGTTATCAAACCAACGAGACAAGAACCTAAACCTAGGAATATTCCTACACCGATCATGATGAGCAAAGTTCAATATATGAACAAATACTGGACCAGGAACACCATAGTGATTGGCGAGGCAATTTCTTTGACACACCTGAGCAATCTCCCTTCCCTCCTGACCATCATGGAAGGAGAAGACGTTGAAGTTAAATATGTTGGTGGGCTATATGTGTTGCTTGAATTTCATAACTCGGTGAATGCCAAGACATTTATCAACATGAGTAGTCGATGGAAGGACTTATTGAAATGGGTAAAACTTGGAGATGAAGCAGAACTTAGATTTGAAAGGGTTGCATGGATTAGACTCGTTGGTTTCTCGTTGAAGCTATGGGATGATAAGAACTTTGTTGCAATTGCTAACTCATTTGGGAAGATAATTTGGCCCTGCGATGAGTTCCCACATCATGTAGACATGTCGTTTCCTAAGATTGGAATCTTGACAACAATCCGGAAATGTATCAACGAGGAAATTACGGTGTCATTTGAAGGAAGTTTGATGAAAGTGGGGGTTGTTGAATGTGATGATGAGTGATTTCCATTCAAAGTCAAATTCATTTAATCTGGGGATGAATTGGAGGAGGACGAGGACGACGACGATGAAGATGGTGTTTTTTATACATGGTTGCCTAACAATGATGAAGACATTGAAGATGGTGAGATTGACCCCAACTCTGAGGAACTAAGGAGTGATGTCGTCCCTACCCCATCGAAAAAGCCTGCAAATAACAATGAGCTGACAATTAGAGAAACAAACCAGGTGTGTGAATCTCCGGCAATGGAACCTCTGGTGAAAGAAGACCAAAAGTCACAAAGGATTGGAAATCACAACAAATCGGAAGATGTACAGGCGCCTTGATTAGAGTGTGACATAAATGCCACCGGTAACAATAATATTATCGGTATGGGAAAAAATGTGTACCCTAATAACTTCGATAGACCCACAATTTGTCTAATATCCCATGATTCTAATGGGCCATCGAATAGCTTACCACCTTTGGATTGCTTTGGGTTGTTTCCATACCCATTTAATAATATTAGCCCTAATGGCCCATGTAATTAAAATATCCAAAACCTGGACTCAACGTACACATGTGGATCTACCAAGAAACCGTGACGAGTTGAAGATATCCCTCATTACAGGTCCCCTCATGTTTGGAAGATACTACCCAAAATCTTGTGGCGGCATTCAACGAAGTAGACAATCCCCCTCCCTTCCCTCCTCCCCCTTCTCCCCTTGGAAGTTTCATCCTCTCGTTTGGTTGATCTGGTGACTGATTCCCTCCCTATCGACCTTAATAAACCCATAGATATCGGAAATGGTGTGGGGCCTCAATACCCATTGGGTGAAGATGAATGTAATTCTTTGAGTCTGGAGGATAAAACAACGATGAATGTCGGTCGTGAAATTGGATTCGAAATTGAGGTTGACAACCCAATTTTTGTTGAGGTTCTCGATGAATCAGGGGTAAAAACAATCATCCAATGAACTTATTATCTCTCAATATTAGATGGTGAAGACCACAAGGTGAAGTGGGTTAGAAGATTAAAAGACAAGTACAATATTTCCTTTTTGGGGATTCAGGAAACACAAATTTTAGATGCCGAGACAATAGATATCACTGGATGTTGGGGTAATGGTAATTATGACCATGCAAAAGTCAATGCAACTGGTAGATCTGGGGGACTACTAAACATATGGGACAATCTCCTATTCAAATCCTCTAATGTTCTAAAATTGTGGCATTTCCTGATCTGTTTTGGACACTATGAAGGAATACAAGGCCTAACTATTGTTGCAAACATCTATGGTCCTCAAGCGCAAGCTGAAAATTTGAAGTTATGGGAAGAGTTGATGAATATACAGCATAATAACCTGGGTACTTGGGTTATTTTTAGAGATTTCAACGTAGTAAGAAGGGCGGATGAGAGAATTACTCTAGATTATGTGCTTCCAGTGCTCGGGGTTTTAATCATTTCATATGGGAGGTAGGACTTCATGACCTTCGTATGGGCGGACACAAGTTCATCTATTTTTGCCAAGTTGACCTCAATTTAAGTAAACTAGACAGCTTTCTAGTGTGCCCCAATTTCATCAATACATTTCCATCTGTTTAGGTCACTGCACTTCCACGGGATTTATCAGATCACTACCCTATCTTGTTATATACTACTTAGCTTGATTTTGGGCCTGTACCATTTCGTTTCTTTAATTATTGGATGTTCAGGGAGAACTTTGAATTAGTGGTAACCATGGCTTGGAAAATATTTAGGGGATATGGTACAGTTGATATTTATTTGGTGGCGAAATTGAAATTTGTAAAACAAGAAATAAATAAATTGAGGTTGACTGGCCATCCAAAAGAATTGGCGGACTTGCAAAAAACAAAGTACCGGGTTAATGAACTAGATTCTAGGGCCGAATACATGGCCTTGTCTGAAGCTGAAGTTGTTGAACGTAGAAATGGATACCATGCTATTGAAAATTGGAGAAAATGGTGGTGTACGATATATATATATATATATTATATATATATATATATATATATATATATATATATATATATATATATATATATATATATATATATATATATATGTGTGTGTGTGTGTAAGCTGAAGTTGTTGAACGTAAAAATGGATACCATGCTATTGAAAATTGGAGAAAATGGTGGTGTACGATATATATATATATATATATATATATATATATATATATATATATATATATATATATATATATATATATATCGATATATATATATATATATGTGTGTGTGTGTGTGTAAGCTGAAGTTGTTGAACGTAGAAATAGATACCATGCTATTGAAAATTGGAGAAAATGGTGGTGTACGATATATATATATATATATATATATATATATATTATATATATATATATATATATATATATATATATATATATATATATATATGTGTGTGTGTGTGTAAGCTGAAGTTGTTGAACGTAGAAATAGATACCATGCTATTGAAAATTGGAGAAAATGGTGGTGTACGATATATATATATATATATATATATATATATATATATATATATATATATATATATATATATATATATATTATACACGTCAGAAGTCTCGTATAAAATGGGTTGTTGATGAGGATGAAAATTTCCGGTTCTTCCACTGATATTTCAACAACAATTTCAGGAAAAACATGATCAATGGGCTACTGATCAATGGGGTTTGGAATACAAATGTGGATGAGATAAAAAATGAAGCCTTTAATTTTTTCCAATCAAAATTTCATGATCACTAGCGCTCCCAACCAAAACTAACCAGTGATAAGTTTCGTTTTCTATCCCATGGGGACAGATCATATCTAAAAGCACCAAATATCCTGGCCTGAAAGCAGGTCTTCCGTATGGCCGTGTGGGAATAAGTAAGCCCCTGGACCGGATGGATTCTCCTTTAAGTTCTTAAAAAACTACTGGGACTTGGTGAAATAGGATATTTACTCATTTGTGAAATACTTTGAAAGATATGGACGTCTTGCTCGAGGTTGCAATTCTTCTTTCATAACTCTTGTCCCCAAGATTAATGATCCTCTCATGTTGAGTGACTTTTACCCATTAGTTTAATTGGATGTATGTACAAAATCATAGCAAAAATACTTGCCTCTAGACTCAAAGTGGTGATTGGTGCTACTATTGATGAGGTGCAAACAGCTTTTGTAAAGGGGAGGAACATATTAGACGGGCCATTAATTGTTAATGAAATTTGTTCTTGGCGAAAGACAAAACTGCAAAAAATGGTCCCTGTGGTTTCTCATTTTATGTGGTTAAGGTCCAAACCTTTGAAAAGTTGTAGATTTTGTCCTTTTCAACAAGTTTTGTTGTGGTTTTGGTCCCTCTTCCGTTAACTTTAACAGCTTGATTGTTAACTTTTTTATATGACTATTTTACCCTTATGAATCATTTCTGCAACCAAACTACAAAGACCATTTCTACATATCTTCTTTTTTTTATTGAATTATTATATATTAATAAATGTTATTTTTAATATATACTATTTATATATTAATAAATAATATTTTATTAGATTATTAAGTTCTTTTAATTAATTTTTTTTTAATTTCTTTGTTATCGAATATTTTAATTGGATTATTATATATGAATAAATATAAGTTTTAATATATAATATCTATATATTAATAGATATTATTATATTGGATTATTAATTTATTTTAGTTAATATTTTTATTGGAGTAATTCTTTTTTATTAGATTATTATATATTAATATATATTATTTTTAATTTATAATATTTATATCCTAATAAATATTACATTATCATATTATTAATTTCTTTTAGTTAATTTTTTTAATTTCTTTTTTTGGATTAATTCTTTTTTATTGGAATATTACTTTAATTTATTATTTTTATATAATAAATATTATTTTGTTGGATTATTAGTTTAGTAGTTTATTTTTAATTTATACTATTAATTCTTTTTAATTTTATTAGTTCCACCACAAAGTCGCCAGAATACGCGAAAGCGTTTGTAACGTCTGGTTCCTGATATGTATTTTAATAAAGAATTATTCATTTTTACAAAGGGACTCGACGAGTTGGAGGCCCCAAACTCGTCGAGTAGGAATGGGAGATGTTTGGACGCGGGACTTGAAGTCTACTCGACGAGTCGAGAAGCCTCGACTCGACGAGTAGGTTTGCCAGAGTGAAACCCTAATTTTTATGGTTTGCACCCTATTTAAACACTTTATCTGGCCTCCACTACAGCCTCCATCACCTCCAGACCTTAGTCACGAAACCCTAACCATTGTGAGTGTTCTTGAGCCATTGTTGTGTGTTCTTGGTGATTTTGAAGCTTGAAAAGGAAGAGGAAGCTTGGGGGTTCAAGAGGAAGCAAGTAGATCCAGAGTTGGTGCTTCATTTCCAGTTCATTTGAGGTATAAAGTCTATACCTTGACTATTCATTTGCTAGATCTTTTCATGGGGTAGTTTAGGGCTTTTTGGAGCATAATATGGAACCATTCATGGATGAAAGCATGTTTTGGGGTAATAACTCCAGATCCAGAGTCTTTGAGGGACTCCATGGCATAAAGGTGTCAACTTTATGGCCATGGGAGTCCCATGCATCCCATGAACCACTTTTTAGGGATTTTTGAGCTAAATAGTCTCCGGTTACCGGTTGAAAGATACCGAAGGGTAGGGGTGAAATAGTCCCCGGTTATCGGTTGAAAGATACCGAAGGGGAGGCTAACTCTCGGTTACCGGTTGAAAGATATCGAAGGGGAGGCCAGCTCTCGGTTACCGGTTGAAAGATACCGAAGGGGAGGCCAACACCCAATTATACTAGGCAGTTACCGGTTGAAAGATATCGAAGGGGTGTCAAGCTTCCAATTATGCCAGTCAGATACCGATTGAAAGATACCGAGGGATAGGCATTATGTGTTTATGGTATGCGGTATGATGGGGGAACACACTAAGCTTTGTGCTTACGGTTTTCAGTTTTGGTTTCAGGTACTTCCTCTTCGAAGGGAAAGGAGTTGGCATGGTAGCAGCGCATCACACACACGATTTTCCGCATATGAGATTTCTGGGATTTGTACTCTGTGACAACCCGAAATTTCTATCTTGTAAAGTCAATCAATTTAATTAAAAGTCAGACTTGTTTCTATTATATTTTAGCATTGTTAAGAGTCTGTTTGAGAGTTTTAAGCCTAGTACACTCAAGGTTTGTGTGTTAGGATGTGTTAGCTCGGGTTCTTTGAGTTGTAATTGAGCCGGAAACTCCATCAAAAGGGGTTCACGGCCACAACTAGACTCCTCGCCGTGAACAAGTCCCCTATATAAACAAATTTGGCTCATTTT